ATCCAAAATTTATCAATGTTTCAGGATTTTCTAGGGCAGTTAAGGATTTTTTCGGAACTTTCATTCATTTTTGTTTTCTTCGGAGTTTTTGTTTTGGTATCGTTTTATGGACTGCTATTCGGCGATTTCAGAAATGTTTTGGAACGTTTCTCGGCTTTACGTAATTTATTTCAAGCCTTTTGGGATGATTCCAAATCTTTTAGAATAAAAAGTATATTTAAATTATAACTTTGTATATTATCTTAAACAGAGTGCCGCTTTGTGTTGAGTACAATAACATGTCGAAGCTCATCTTCTCATATTTCAACTGCGGCAATATGGAACCTATTGAAATGTGTAATTCATCGGTTAAGAGGTCCTTTTAGTATTAAGAAAGCAGAGCATGTTTAGCACTTTACCTTGGGATACGAAAGATCTTTAAGGTTGCACTTAACAAAACTTTGTTCGAAGTGTGTTTATGCAGTTCTTTCGTCAAGTCGTTGTCACTAATGCAATTTTAATGCAAATTAATTTAAAAATTTTTAATAAAAAAACGTAATGGACTAGAAAAAAATTTACTCATATAAATATGCTCAAAAATAAAGGTAAAGTTAATAAATTTAGAAACTATTGCAAATAAAGTTTATAATGTAGTTATATATATGACATTAAGTGTCCACATATAAATAAATGTGTATGTATATGCGTACACACCTACATATGTATGTACATATTTACATAACAGTTTCTTTGAAATTCTATGTATGCATAGCATTGTTCATGCCAACTACGTACCAGCATAGTGGTCGCTAGTGTACATTTCATTTGACCCAAAAACAACCGTATTATTAAGGTTCGTGTAAAATCTGCGTGGTTGTGGATGACTACCTACATATGCATGTATGTATATATGTGAATTCAGGCTTTGATTCCCACAATTTGAGCAATTGTCTCACTCCAGTGTTTAAGTCATCGCCTAATACAACTTATTTAGTACTTTGAATTTTTCCTCAGCAGCTTGTTTACGGTATTATTGTTTGAGCTGCGCATGTTCATGTTTTGCTTTTGGATTTTTTCTTTGTTTTCCAAACTTAGGGAAATTACAGAAATTACTACATTTTCGTAGCATTTCTGATGTAACATAAAGCCGGCTATTACAACTATATTTGTGCTTAGGATTAACTCTTTCATTTGAAGATAATTACTCGTACTTTAGCAGTTTTCGCATTGGCTACTTGCCAAAAACACAAGTGGTCGTGACTTACTTTGACAATTGTTGTCATTTCTGACACGCAAGGAAAATACGCGTCGGAAGGTGTTTCTTTCCTTAGGCAAATATCGTAGTTAAAGCGGGAATTATGTTAAAAAAAAGTAACCGAAAAGGTTATCATTTTAATTGGCGTGCATTTAGTGAGTTTTTTTGGTCAAGGTGAGTTGTTAATAAGGCAACGTTGAACTACATTGAACAGCTGCAGTTTTTATAATAGAAAAAAATTTAGAAAAACAAAAATGAATTGTAGTTGTTTTATGTGTTGCAATTGCACCATTAATGCAATCAGCTCCGCTTCCCAAAGGCGCCTGATAGCAAACAAAAGACTTAAGCGACAAACCTCATTTCGCAGTTCAATGCTTATTTCAATTAAATGCTATTAGATTTAATCAAAGATTTTCAAGATTAATTATATGCCATAAAAATAATATCCTGTACTTTTAAGTATGACCAAAGTGACATAACCTTGTATTTGTACGAAACCACGTCGTATATGACCCACCTAAAACAAGCAAAGCAAATGCTAAATGTATTAAATGTATCTTAACAAATTCTCTGTCTTCTACACAACCTCAGTGGTATTGATAGTCTAATTTGATTTACAATCAAAGGCATTAGTTTTGTAGTATATTCGTAAGTAGTATATATGTAAGTATGCTTTTTTAAATGCCAGCGCAGCGATGCCATAAATCGCTATTGATTCGTGTTACTATTTCATATCTTTGTATATCTGCAACTAAAAGATTAATTACATAATATTTTTAACAATAATTCTAAAAAGGCGAAGCTACAGATCTGTGGAGTTGGTTGTATAATAGGTAGCTTAATCAAAGCTTTATACGTAAATTGTGAAAAAATTACTAATTTATAAACATTATTAAAAATCTTGTTCTAATAATTTGTAAGGATACTCCCAAATACTTGGAGGCTTTAGCGCTTTAGTTGATCCTTCGACTCAGCAATGGGCGGGTCTAGTGAAAAAGGAACTGTCAGCTTCCGGGATGAACAACTGGCGCATCTTCGCAAAAGCGAAAGGCAATTAGCGAACCGACAAACGGTTGTAGTGCACATAAATCTGTGGTCATAAGCAGCCAAAATAACTTTTTGATACCGACGGAAAAAGGGAAAAATATTTGCACATGTTGGTGAAAGCAAATTAATTTTTAAGTATTTAGAAGCGATAGAAATGATCACAAATAAAATCTACCAGTTTTATTCTTTTGTGTTGCGTTATGTTATGTTGTGTTGTGTTGTGTTGTGTTATGTTATATTATGTTATGTAATGTTATGTTATGTTATGTTATGTTATATTATGTTGTTATGTTATGTTATGTTATTTTATATTATGTTGTATTGTGTTGTGTTGTGTTATGTTATGTTATGTTGTGTTATATTCTGTTATGTTGTTCAACGCATTTCACCTCAATTCACTTCAATACCCAACTAAACTCAACTCGGCTCACTAGTCCACCTGGACCTCGCTTAATTTAAAAGGTTGAATTTCAAGCGCTGGGCGAACACTAGTTATTAGAATTGACCTTTAGGGATAACAACAACGTCTACTAGTCTCCATGATTAAAAAAATTACAACAGTGATTGATTTAGTATAAAACCTGCTAACTCCAATTTTTATATTATTTTAATACGAAATAAAGCCTGCTAACGCCTGTTTTTATTTTGAACTTAGAACTCTAGCGAAATATATTTTTTTAAAGTCACTAAATAGAGCATACAAAGACTAACAAAATGACATTATCAAATTTTGGGGGTAGTGTGTAGTTATTATTTAGTTTTTTTCGCTCTACTATCAAATTTTACTAAAAAGAGTTAGCAGTTTTAATCGCGTTGCCGACGATATTAAAAAAGGAACTATATGAATAACAATCGGAAGGTGTTTGAAGACTCTTCAATACGAACATATTTTTAAATAAAGTTACCACCCATGTATCAACTAAGTAAGATGACACATATACATAGATTTGTCTAACAAAGGGCTTTGAAAAAAAGAACATCAATCCACATCCATTTTTGGATAGGGTTGTCATTTATACAGAATAAGCAAAAGGCATTTGAAAAAATTTTAATCCCTACAAATTCAGGGACATGGGTTGCCACCTATCTTACAAAATGAAATGAGCCAAATATGTAATTTAAGTAAAATAACACACTATTTGTATCAAGAGCAGAGTGCTCGCATAACCTTAAGTACGCCCATGATTTTAAGTAGTGTTGCCACCCATTAAAAAACTTCTCACTTGCTATTTGGCTGTATAACGCCCTAAGCAATTTTAAACGAGTGACTAACATGAGGTAGAAATGTATGTAAGTTAGGTAAAATATCACAATTCGGATATGCAACTATTCTTGGAAAGGGTAGCTCTACTTTTCAAGAAGGCGAATGGAAATTTAATAAGCAAGTATTCATGAAGGTTGAGTTAAATATAATAACATGATCAAAAAGCAAAAGTGATTTAAAAAAGCTTGAACCCATAGATATTCCTGGACAGATTTTCTTCATTCTATGGTCCAGTAAGTAAGCACAACATCTGTCGGATCTGCTAGTAAATAAATACAAAAATTTCTTAGACTAACTATTTAAGTAGGCTTTCTGCTTAAGGCAGTGTCCCACGATTGGGCATTTGCCCAACATTTGGTGCAACTCTTATAACAATCATGTGAATGTGCAAATATTTTTTTCTCTATCCCTACGAAGAAAAAAATGTTTTTTTTGCAAAGTTTTTAATAGAAGTGCGCTTTATTGTACCAATCATGTGATTGCAAAAAAAAAAAATTGTGGTCCCATGTTTTTTTTATTTTGCACCAATAGCCCAATATAAAAAATGTACAAATCTGTCCAAATGTACCAATCTTGTGACACTGCCCTTAGTTCTGAAGTTAAGTAAAACACATTTTTTCCCGGATTATTGCACACAATAAATATGGCTGCAAGATCATAAAATATAATTCCTCAATTATACGAGTACCATAAAGACTTTTTTATGTAAATTTCGCCAACGTTTCTCGCTGAAATATGAATGCTGTGTACATACTATATAATAATATACTTGTGTGTATAAACAACTAAGTCTGGAGAAAAACCTTCGTTTATTACAGTGAAACAGCTTCGCAAGTTTTAGCGGATTTGCCAACATGTTGATTGTATTTAGACGTGGAGCGAGGCAAAACTAATGGAAACGCTTAACATCAAGAATCGTGCAAGTAAAACTAGTCACGACAGCGACCTGGGTACAAATTTGCGCTTCAAAGCACTTTGTTGCTGGTGTTGAACTCGCACACATACAAACAGACATACACATCGAGACCAACTGGCATTGCAATCAATGAATGAATCTCTGCCAATGCAACAGATGAGTTCTTGTACCCTTTCCAACTCAATAAAACAAAAAGTTATTTAGAAAAAAACGTTAAAATTATTCGTCGTAAAATAAGCGCCAATATCGCTTGTCGCTACAAACGCTTGTTTTTTTGTTTTGCTTAAATTATTTTGCTGTAGCAGCATTTTACGGTTGAAATCTTTATCTAAGACAGCAGCGTATTTACAGTGAAGTAAAAAAACAACAACAATTTCATTGCTGCCGCATTTTGTAAACTTCAAATTATCTAATTAACTTTTGTATTGTTGTTATTGTCACCAATGAGTGCGTGCTGTATAATTTAAAAGCAGCAACAGCAACAGCAACAGCAACAACATTGCCATCGCATTCGTCGCCATATGTCAGCCTCGACTCACCTCTTGACTTTGTTCCAACAACTGTGTGCTGTGTGGTCGTATTGTCGCCGGATAATTGCGCAACTGTGGCGGCTGATGATCTTCATGCTGCTGGTGTTCATGCGGTGCAATAGGACGTATAATGAATTGAGTTGGTTTCGGGCCATAAATAGTTTCCTGTGGATTTTCCGGATCATCAGCGTCCGCAGTGTCGGAGCGATGATTTGCGTAAACAGCTTCATCTTTCGCGCCAACTTGACGTTTATCTTTCGCAGTTTCGTCTGTCGTTGGTGCACTGGCTAGCGTTGACGTTAGCGACGTGATCTCAGTTAGTGTTGATGCTGAAGTTGGTATAGCGGCGCTTGCAGCAGATTTGGCATCGTTTGTTGTTTCAGAGTGGACAATTAAAATGCCTGAATTGTAAAAGAAAATGGTTAAAATATCTATTAGGATTTAAATTTTAATTAATTAGGATTATAGAAAAGAAAGGTTGAATGAGTTGTGCACCATTAGATAAACTATGATTGGATGAATAGAGATATTTTGAGTTTCATAAATCTAACCGCGGCAATAATAACCTCGAGATCTCGCACTCTTCCCGTTGGTTCCACAAGTGTGCGTTTACGTTGGAGCTACGATAAGAACTAATTCGAGTCAAACTAAGCTAAGTGAAGAAAATGGTAAAGCGAGTATCACAAACAGTTTGCATTTATAAAAGAGCATAGTTACGATCAGAAACAAATGAAAATAACCCATAGGAAATGCTCGTTTAACATTTCTTTCCTTAGTTAAATCAGCTCATATGGTAGCTCCAAAATAAACTCACCCTACAAGCATAGGCAGACGGCAGCGTGGATCCGAGCCAATTTGTTAACTGCCTCCATTGCATTTTCGAGGTTTTAAAATTAAACAAGTAAACAAGTAAAAAAAGTCTAAGCTCGGGCGAAGCCGAACATTAAATACCCGGCGCACATATTAGATATATTTTTTCACCTTGCTGAATACCACCGTTACATGGTAAGCAGAGTCGTTTTACCCCTATTTCTAACAATTTCGAAAGAATGCTCGGTTAGACTTAATAGATAAACTTATATGTATAGTTATAAGTGGGCGGTACCACGCCCATTTTCTAAAATTCCATAATAATGTTATTTAATTTTAAGGTATTGTTGTGAGCATAAATTTTGAGTAAATTAGCGTCCTTTAATATCGAAATATCAGGCAAATTCCAAAAAAAAAAATATTTTTATAAATTTTTTATTTTATTTTTTATTTTCTTGTTTTATGTTTCTTCCATAATTTCAGTTTAATTCTTTAGATTTTAAATTTATTAAAAAAAGCCACAACAACTATAATTACATGAAAAAAGCTACTAATTTAAGGAGGTAAAAAATTAAAAAAAAATATTGGGAATTAGCCTCGCTTGATCGGCAATACTGGCGTCTGTTAACGTTTCTGTCTCTCCATGAGATAAGTCATTATTAACAGTTATTTTTCTAATGTGGTAACTAAACTGTGATTGTATAGATGAGTTAGCCTTGTTAATTGTCATTCTACAGCTATGTATATCTTAGGCTGCGTTTCACCAGATTCATTTAAGTGCAAATTATTTTAGTTTTTTAATTTTTGGTTTCACCAACAAAATTTCAATTTGTTTTTTAATTTTGATTTATGTGTCCTTTGCACTGCACTTAAATAAAATTTAAATAAGAATAACCACAATCAGAGATGTTATACGTTTAATCAGCTGATCAATATACACAAACCACTTTCTTTCTGGCAGCAGCTCAGCTTGTATAACAGCCCTGCTTTTACTACCACTTTTAGCATGGTGCTGATATATTTTAGCTCACTCAAATAAAGAGCTTATTAAAACTGAAAAAAATTCATTTGAGAATTAAATAAAAAACTAAATTAAAATTTATTTCTACTTAAATGAATTTGGTGAAATGCAGCCTTAGATTTTCCAGTGATGACTTCACTATATTAGAAAAGATTGCTTTCAAAGCCTTTTGGCTATTGGCTTAAACAGTTACCTACATATTTTAGAATATTAGCTGCATTTTGCAAAGGAAAAATCTCAGCTTAAGAGCCACCGCAATAGTTTGGCAGATGAAATGCTGACTGATCTAAAGGTCATCCGATTGGAGACCTCAGCTGCCACCGGTAGGGCTAAGTTTCTTTGCTCTTTCCTGGTCAGCAACCGTAGCCAGCGTATAGGGCTGGCTTTCAAGTGTACCATGATTCAGTTAAGCCGGAATCTTCATCGTTTCAAATTTTAGTTTAGAGTTCAGGCTCTTACGTTCTCGTTCACGCACTGTAAGCTGCGTGCACATTTCCTGGGGAGAACTTTTGCCCACGGCATAAAGGGAATGAGTTTTGGAGAACCAAATCGGCTTAGTCGATTCAAGGGCTCACCGAGGTCAACAGCGTGTATCTAGCGGTGGATGATACTGCAAAATAGACATCTATGTTGCAACAGGAGCTCACTATTTATAGTAAATTCTTGTCGTACATAAGTATTTATTCTCCATGCAAAGAGATGTGCAATGAACTTGGAACTCGCATTCCTACTACGGGTACTAGATGTCAAAAATGTCTTGGACATTGACCACTCTATTGAATTTCGAAAGTGGCGGTTTCCACAGCACATACACTCACTACCTCCAAAAGCCCCTCTAAATAAGGCACTCGATTTTGAAATCATTGCAGAATAATGGTTAGAATTGGCCTCTTTAACACCATATCTAAACTAAAGACCTTGCGAAACTAATAACGGGTAGCAGAAGAACCTCCGCGAACCTTTTGGACCTAAACTGGGTTAAGTATAAGGTGACTTACTTTTGTGCTACGGCTTATACCATTCCTGCACATGAAATAATATTATTTAGAACTTTGGCGAGATGTTTTTAAGTACATACAATAAGAAGATGAGATAAACCCTTAAAAAGTTATATAAGAGTAAACAGTACCGAAAAGCTGAATAAATTTAGTTCTTTTGCTTGGATTCCTAGGCCCAGCGCCCTTAATTGGTCTGCCCAGGGCGGACGAGAGGGTGAAATCCGGGCATTAGTCCCGGGGCCCGGCATCGCCCAACAGCATTGAAGATCTTTTAACCAGATATTAAAATATATTTTCTTGGTACTAACAATTTTGATTATGTTAATAATATCTTTAATTATGTGAGCATTATCATTATAATAAAAAACACTCACTTCAAGCTGAAGTAAAAATTCTACATACTAAAACAATATACTCAACTTATTTTAAATACAATCTGACATCTTTATTTGAGCTTTCATATGCCCAGTCATGACAAATTTATTTGAAAACTTTCTTGTTCTTTTGGAATTGATACGACAAGGACTCTGAAAAATGGGAAATCCAAGAACGATTCAAGAAGTTTGTGGACTGCAACTTCAAAATAAGCGAAGCTATCGCTGAGCTGATCCGTAGCACTCTATAAAGCACAACATTCCACTGGCTGACGGTCGTAGGCAAGGGTATGACAATGGCAGTAATATGAGCGGCCTTTAGAAGGAGCACAGAGTCATATTCTGAGAATAACTCTCTGGCCACATTCACACCTTGTGCTTGTCATAGTTTAATTCTATGTGGAGGTCATGCAGCTAAATTTTGTATAGAAGTCATCATATTATTCGGTATAATATAGAAATTTAACAGTATCTTTAGCGTTAGCCCTCAGAGAATTAAATGTTCCTTCCACAGCATGTCACAAACACGGTGCTCGGTTCGTATGAAACCTTTCGCAGCTCACATTCCACGATTACTAAAAGCAATTGAAGAAATTGAGCTTATGAATCCGAGTCAAGAAACACTAACGGATCTAAAGGGTATTTGAAAGTATATGCAGACATTCGAGTGTATCTTCCTGGCCCCCATCTGGCTCAAAGTTTTGACGGCAACCAACCATCGAAATCTCGTCCTCTAAGCGGGAAATGCCACACTGGACATGGAAACAGAGAACATACGGAACCTGATTGATGAATTGAAAGCGTGCAGGGATCAATGACCATCAATACTTAAATAATGTATGGTTGTAGCTGGCAGTGTAGGCATTGCAGATAGTTCGCAGAGAAAATACGCAAAATTAGGAAGCGACAGTTTGACGAATCACATGAAGAAGCACCTTTATTCGATTCTGAAACTCAATTGAAGCAGGTAGTTTTCTACGTCCTCATGGCTTCTTGACAAGGCGTTTTGAGGCCGTAAATTATCTTGCTGGTAAATTTATTTTTTTGTGGAAGTATCATGAGCTGACGGAAAGAGACCTCAGAGGAAAGGCAGCTGCATTCTGTGAGATTTATCGCGTAGACATTTCTACGGATCTAATAGAAGAAATCATCCATCTCAACGCTGTCCATGTAGCAAATTTGGGATTTGATGGACGGAGGTACTATTTCCTAACACCTGCATAGCATTACGAATATTTTGCACTATTCCAGTGGAAGGGGAGCGTTTGTTCAGTCTGTTGTCACGAGTAAAGAATTTTTTACTTTCTACCATGAGCCAAATCGCTTTACAAGTCTTGGAACATTGACATTGGAGTCCAGGCTTGCTCATAGCATGAATTTCGACTCACTAATTTCCATGTTCGCGGACCAAAAACCCCGAAAGGGTTCCTTCGACTGATTCAATTTCTGATGACATATCTAGTTAATTTAACCAAATCCACCTACCAAAGTAAGCATAAGCCCAAGGATATCTATTATAAGTATATATATGTATATCTTAAATAAAATGGACAGTTTGAATTGAACTAATGTTGTTTCACTAAATTGAGTTTATGTTTGAAGAGGGCCCATGAACGCGACATGTACCGGAGCTTGGTTCGGCTCTCGACGGCCCTGGGTCAGGCAAAAAAGACCTGCAATGTTTCTTCGTAATGGATCAAAGTGGTAGTGGATAAAAGAAGACCTGCCAATGCCACGGACTGTACACGGTTTTTGAATATAACTAAAACTCAAATGGGGTAGATTTCAATAGCTTAAGATACTTTTTATAAATAAAAATTTTGAAGTGAATATCAATGACATAAATTTACTAATAACTAATAACCAGAGTTGGGCAAAATTTATTCGAATGACGAATAACAAATGAATAAATTGTTTTTCTTGTTATTCGTAAATAATAAATAATTTTGTTTATTCAAAAAAAAAATTATTCGAATGACGGATTTAATATTTTTGTCGTTATTCGAATAATTATTATCTTCATTAATTATTCGAATAACGAATAAAATAATAATAAAAGAAGTAATTTATGTATATAGATATGTACATATATTTATGTATAAAATGATAACCGTTTTCGTTGTTGCGATTTAACTCAAACCTCTGGATAGATTTAAGTCAAATTTTCGGAGGTTATTCCCTGCGCATAAAGTCCTATTAAAGGCTACTAGAAAACTCCTTGGTGGCGATGGAGCCGAGTTATTTATAAAAGCCGTATTTATGAATGCATGATGAAAAATACTTATGCGAAAAATGGACCCGCTAGGTGGCGCTGCAGTTGAGTTATTTAGAAAATCCCTATTTATTGTACAATCAGGTTGCATTTCATAATGGTGCTGCAGTCGAAATCATTAGAAACCCCATATGTTTGGACTACTTTGTTTTTATGTTTATATTATATGAATTTACGAAGTCTTACGTCGTCATACACCCTAAATGCGACTTTGCATCTCCGCTTGATGAAATTGCTCGGGCGGCCATTGCTGCAGCAGTAAGACTCAAGGAAACCAGCTCTTGGATATTTTAAAAGTAACGAATCAGCAAGGAAAGTAACGACCACATCCTTCCAAGAAAGACCACTGTTGGTATATCAATGGCCAAATTTTACATCGAGGGTTTTTGGCTCTCCTATAATAGAAAACGCACATCTGTGCTCTTCAGCTTCCTTATAAGGACTTTTGTTGGCCTACATGACATAAGCTAGAGGCTGACGCATCGGACCAATGTTGTAGTTGCAAGATCATAGAAGAAGATTGCGCACGCTCAGAAAAGATCTTACAAGTGGAAATAAGACCATCGGTAAAGCTCATGACATTGAAAGGGATTTTTTCTTGCATATAGCATCAGAGCGCTATTTTTTTGGCAGAAATATGTGTGAGAAGGGTTCTGCTCTTTAGTTGTTCAACCTAAATTAAGAATTTTTACTTTACCCATATTGAGGATTCAACGCTATTCTTGCATGGGCCAACGCAAAAAATCTTATCAGGGGCCGCGAAACCAGAGGGAATGAGCTAGTATTCTTGATAAAATAGTAAACAGAATTCAGCTAACTCACAATCCTTGACAATAGAAATAAAAGTAAAAGGTGGCTCAATGTGTTAAAATGAGTTTTTATTCATTATTTAAAATAACGAATAAAACAACAAATAAATTATTCGAAAGCAATTTATTCACGAATAATTTATTCGTAAATGAGTTATCTGCGAATAATTATATTACGGATAAAATTTTATTCGAATTATTATCTAAATACCAATTTATTCGAATAATCCCAACTCTGCTAATAACTAATAACTAATTAATCATGCAATATATAAAGCCACCAGTATAATGGAAGGCAGTACTGCCCTTACTTGACTGACCGTTAACCAATGTGTCGCAGTCGCTTGCTGGAGCTTGTTCTGATGCTGACAAGGAAACCATTGCCAGGAATTTCTAGCCAGCAACAGGATCGGTTGCTTAAGTCAAGGTGTTGAGTGCTAGACTCAGTACAGGAACTTGCTGCAGAAATTAAAATCTCTGATGAGTTCTTGTATGCCAAAGCCAGTCTAACCTCTGGTACAGAATGCTTAGCTAGGGAAAAAAACCCAGTGCCCTGAGAGTTTATTATTATTGTATGGCTTGTCATGACGGAGTCAAGAAAACTTTGGTCAGAAAAAAATTGCCAGCAGCAGGATACTTTATTCCAGGTAGGATTTTGTAGGATACAGCCAGCCCCGGCACTACTAAAAAGTATCTCAGTTAAGGAAATCTTCCCAATAAAAGGTGGTCGCATGATAGATATTTCCCTGGTGCTGCCAACGTAAACGTACTAGAGGAAATCTAATTAGCATCTTAACTGGTTACCCAAGTCAAGATATTGCGTGGTAGTGCCAATCCAGCCACTACGAGAGATAACCGTTGTTAAACGAATCTGTTTAGCGCCATAAGTGATTATCTTTTAAAAATTTTTGTTTGCTAGGGCTCGTTCAGATTCTATTGGGTAAATACATTGTTAAGAAAATCTATTAAGCGCCAGAATACTCCAGCGACACCTGGCAGCTCTTATTTTGCATTGTCAATACATATCCCGAATATGAACACGAATTTTTAGTAATAACTGGACTTCTGAGCCCCTTGGCGGGCAAATTTTTTCACAGCAATATTTACGACACCAATGCATACTTCGAGTATACGCAAAATCTGACCATACAATTTTTTTTAGTAATAACTCGACTCCAGCTCTACCTGGCCGGTAAAATTTGCAGCTAAAACTAACCAGGACCCCTCAAACACACATAACGCCCCCTTTTCAAATACTTTCTCTAGTAGTATGCGAGTGCTTTCATATATCTTCATACCATGTTCGAGTACTCTACCATGAACACTTCATGATATATGCAATATGAAAAATTCATTTTTTATGGGAGGTGCCGCGCCCCTTTATATATCGAAATTTTTTGTACCCTATAACCGTCTTTGCAAAGACTGCAGTAGGTGTCCGAAATTTCAAAAAAATCAGTGCAGCCGTTTTCGAGATTTGCGAACAGAAAAAACGACTTTCAAAATACGTACATATATATTAGTACAGATTGTAACAGGCCGATGTCTGTACGTTATAGATATTAAAGAAATATTGATATGGCGGATCTTTATTGGAGCAACAGAAGCCAAATTAACCATTTTTAGAATTTTTGTCCGTCTGTCTGTTTGTATGTTTGTACGTTCACCAATCGAAAACAAATGCGTGGAATTGAATGTGGTTTTTACCGATGTATTTACAGAGATCTAACTTAAAATACAAAAGGAAACAATAGAGAGTTACCACCTGTTTGAAAATTGCAGTTCAAGTAAATTGATGAGATAAGATAAGATATTGCAATATGGCAATCAAAACAAAGAGCTTTAAGAAAGCTTACAGCCACAAATATTTTTGTGGAAGGTTGCCGCCTGTTTGAAAATTTAATTTGATTTAATTGATAAGGTGCATTAAATATTGCAATATGGCTATCAATCTAAAGAAGTTTAGGAAAGTTTATCGCCAAAAATATTTTTGAGGGGGGTTACCACCTGTTTGAAAAATGTTTTCTAAATTCAATTGATAATTAATTAATATTACAATACGGGTATTAAAATGTGCAAACATACTTTTAAGGCGCAGTGAAGCACACTGGGTAGTTGCTGGTTAAAAATAAAAAATTATCTATCAAAATCGTTGTTCAAAAAGCATAATTTAAAAAAAATTAGAGGCCGCTGAAAACATCCTTTGACTCGGCCCCCATGGAGAAAGGGCGCCCACGACGGCAATGAAAGGACAAAGTGCAGAAAAGGCCTTATATTTGATTTTCAAGAATTCTGTACCATTTCCACGAAAAGTGGTTTTTTCCCCATATAAAAAACATGGAAAACTTTGAGCGCTTTGAGCGACCTCCAAATATTGTTGATTTCAAAATAAAAAATAGGTGTATATTTTTTCGATATAGAACAATCCTAGGGGGTGAGAGCATTAAAATTCCGACTTTAATTATTTTGGACCACCTTAATGTACCTACAACTGGCGCAACCTCGCAAAGGAGAGAGGCACTTGGCAAATTTTTTCGGTCTCGGCCCAAACCGATGAACGATTGTAGAGCGAAACAAGAAGGAGGGGAGCTCTTTTATTTAAAAGTACAATTTTCGAGTTTATCGAGGAATTAGGGTTAATTTTTTTTTATTAATTAACTAGGGTTAAATACCAATTTTGGGACAATAAAATAATAATTTATACGATGATACGTTCTTCAATCAAAACTTCATTGAACTGCAGCTGCTACTAAATTTACTTTTAACCTCATACAGGATCAAGTAATGCGAACTGAAGAATATAGGCAAACAATTTTTTTTTACTATCTTAAGGATTTTCTTAGATATTTTCCCACAATCGCTTTTCATCACTCACTTACCAAATATGAAACAGCAAATAAGGAGAATCACCCTCATTTTGTTGTTTTTTTTTTTTTTAATCCACAGCCAGTGTTGACCGCCTGCAGCAGTTGAATCTTATATAAACGCCTATTGAATCGTTTCTCCAAGGACTAGTATTTCAAGTAAAATTTGTGTCTACACTTTAGTGCACTTAATCAATCACGAATCAATCAATCCAACCAAAGAAGTGACAACATCCTAAGTATCATTCAACATGGTCTTTGCAACATAAGTACAATCCGCGCAGGCGCGCAGAATTGTCCGCTTCACAGTCTTTTCACACAACAATGACACTACAAGAAATGAGCGCAAAAATTTTCGTTACGCTTGGTATTACAAAACTTTGCACATTTAATTTCGTTTTTATAAATAATTTCTTGCTTTGTTGTTGTATTAAGTTAGTGCAATTTTGTTTCAACTTTTTTTTGTTTTTGTTTGTTTTTTTTCAAATTTAGCAAATCTCTGTCACAATTGCTAGTCGTGCTTTATAACACTGACAAAGTGCAATTTTCTAGACATACCAACAACAACAACGCTGGTATTAGTTAAGCAAAGAAAATTACAGTATCCGTTGCCGCGAGGCTAAAAGGCACAAAGTTTCAAGCAAAAAAAAAAAGTAAATTATAAAAATTAAATTAAAAAAAATCGAAAATTCCACTGTTTGCGCGAATAAAACTCTATTTAGTCCGGCGGCAGCGTATCCGTGTGAAAGACGAGCACGAGCAACTTCTATGCTGTTAAGCGAAATGCGACGCGATTTAAAGCTGTTTGCTTGGCAAATAAGCAAATAAGTAGTTGAGTGTTGCACGACCGAAAGACGAATCTTTGAATTGTGCTGCGACACTGGCATTTATAAAAATTCGCACCCAAAAGAGACCATCGCCTGAGACCATCGATCGTTGCGACGTAGCGTCGCAGTTGCGGATTCGTAATGACAGCGCTGAACTTTGTAGCGTCGTCAGAGAAGCCACTGTGGCCATTGTGAAGCTGCTACATGCAACAAACCACATCGTTGTTTGCCGCCACTCTTGCCAGATTTGCTGCTGTTCGTTTTGCTTTGCGCTTAATTTTGAACTTTTATGCATTTAAGTTTTCCACTGAAAGGGAAAGGCTTTACGCTGAGCTGGGCAGCCGCTAGCGCAACAGCGTGGCAGCACCCATACGTACATACATACATACATACATAATAGTTATAGCTGCGAAGCTAGCATCATTGCCAGCAGCCGCGTTCAACTGTTGACTGCAGCGTCGACGTCAAACCAGGCGGTTGGGTCTACGTCGTTGCCGCGCTGGTTTGTCTGCCTATGATTGTTAGCAGGCAGTAGTAGTTAGTGGGTAACTGTAAAAATAAATACCAGTGAAGTGTAAGTAAAAATCGAAATTAATTTCGTTCGTTTCACGGTGTTGAGGCGCGCTGATTAGATGATGATGGTGGGCTGGTGGTTTGCTGCTGCTGAAGTTTGCAGGTCGCAATTTGGCAGGCACATTTTGGCAGATTTAGGAAGTGGTCGCGCAAAATGCCGTCACATATTCGCCACGCTAGAGACCACAGTTGACGGCAGTAGTTTGGACGTTTGTTTTTTATTTTCTCCGCTCTATTAGCATTACTTTGCTTATGGGCCCTGTTAGCGGACATCTCTGTTTGGTGTTGGCGCTGATGGGGTCTGATTGCAGCTGGTGCTTGCAACCGCTTTTAACAGTTACCTATTGCTGACATTTCATTACTACATTATCTTTGTTGTTGCACTAATTTATGCGGGCATTTTTTGGTTTTTGATGTTTTTATGCGCATCTACTATATAGCTCGCTCATCGACTGCGATGCTGCTGCTGCTTGCGTCTATGTGTATTGTGACGTGCGTGCGGGTTGCGCGAATGCGTCATTAAATTGTCGTGTTTTATTGTTATTGCGGTTATTGTGGTGGTTGAGGTAAAATATGTTTTTTTTTGTAGTTTTTTTTTTTTGCTTTAAGTATGTATGTGGCAATGCATTTAATAGGCAGTTTTGTTGTGTGTTACAAATTTTGTGTGCTTATAAATGCGGTACATGCACTATACTGCTTTACAAGTTGCTCGCTTAAGTCTTTTGTTATTTGAAAGGGTTTAATTAAGTACTCTATATGCTTGTGCGCGCTTATGTCTGTGTACAGATGTGTAAGATTGCAAAAGTTTGCCACCTATAATTAGCATTCATTTGTGGACAACAAGTTGACAATGAAAAGCGTATACACATATACACATGTGGGAATGCATTAGCCGTAATAATTGTTGCGGTAGGTGGTAATTTTTTGGTATTGCGGAAGTTCCTTTGACTTTCAGCGACAAACATAAGGCTCTGAGTGATTGAAGCAAAGATTGTGCGATATCAACATTTAACTAAAATGAGTAAAGGGCTGCAATGGGGTATAGTCGTTGTGCTGGTTATGCATTTACAGTTGCATGGCTATACTCAATCCCGACTCTTGCGACCTCGTTCGTGCACTCTTCGCAACGTGAGCAGCTTATGTGCGAGATGCGGTAACCAATCGGAGTGAAGCCTTGGGTCACGGCAGAACGAGAGGGAACTTCAGTGGGGTCGCTCCGACATATTCGGTTTAAGGGCTCACAGAAGTCTGCACCACTAGGTGCGGCTGCAAGCGGATGTCTGTTTTGAGCAAGCGGCTCGTTAAATAAACGTGTTTTCGGTTGCGTGGGAGAAGCATGGACAATGACAGCATCCGATGAGGTGGCTCTTGGAGCATTCGAGAGAAAGATTTTGCGGAAGATTTACGGGCCTTTACACGTTGGCGATGGCGAGTACCGCATACGATGGAACGATGAGTTGTATGAGCTTTACAACGACATGGACATAGTGCAGCGAATTTAAATACAGCGGCTCCGCTGGCTTGGCCATGTCGTTCGAATGTACTCCGACGCTCCAGCTATGAAAATATTCAGCTCGGAACCCGCTGGTGGTAGCAGAGGAAGAGGGAGATCCCCACTCGATGGAAAGACCAAGTGAACAAGGATTTAACTTCACTTGGCATTTCCAATTGACGTCAGTTGGCACAGAATAGAAACTGCTGGCGTGCTTTGTTGAACTCGGTCAAAATCGCTTAGGCGGTTACAGCGCTAAATAAGAAGAAGAAGAGTAAAGGGCTGCCTACAAAATGAATTTCTTAAATATTGCGACTGATTGTGGTTTTCGCGCGAACGGAAAATTTAAAATTTTTGTATAGAAAAATTAGAAGTAGTAAAATTTCAAATTTTCGATTCGTATGAGAAGAATACTATCGATTATGAACCAACAAAATTTTTTTTTCTCAGGCGGAATGTCTTTTCTAAAATGAATAAATTTTAATATTGTATATGCCATAGTGTTAATCAAAATTGTAGACAGAAGGTAGAAAAGACCTCATAAAATATTGTTCTTTGATTAAAATTTCACACAGTGGAAATGATAAGATTTAGTGACGTTGATAAGAAATAATTAAAGTAGTAAAGGGCCTTCAACTTAATGCAATTAGCTTATTGTAAAAAGAAATCTTGTTATTATAGGGCCATATTCTTTTTTTTTGGTCTCGATAAGCTTATCGCTTTGATGTACCTTATCGATCGAAATTTTATTTGTATCCTTTCTATGGTCGAAAAGTGACTTTGCCGACGAATGTAAAACGCTTTGTAGGATTTGGAATGCATTTATATGCAGACGTAAATATTTAGCGCCAAGTGACTGTGCTGACTGTGGGTGACGAAACCAGCCTATGTACCATGGGATAGGATGTCCTCAGGGCGGGGTAATCTCATCTCTCTTGTGGTGCTTGGTAGTGGACATCTTGTTAACGTAGATGGAAGACTTCACTTACATCCAATGCTGTCAATTCCATTAAGAAACCCTAGTCTGGTTTAAGCGGAAAAGAAAGTTGGAAGGTTTCAAGCTTTCAGTGGTTGGAAGCGTAAACCGTAGTCTCTAAGTCGATGTGAAATATCTATGGAAAAATCAAGTCGAGCTAAAGGTTAATCGAGTGCTGAAAGTTTTCGGAAAGTATCGGAGAATCTTTAGTAAGGTCTGGAGTCTGAGACCGGCTATGGTATTCTTGATATACATAGTTTTAGTCAGACCCATCGCCACTTACTCTGCTGTAGCATGGTAGTATGGTGGCGTGGAATCATTGTCAAAACCACGGTTACTGAGTTAAACAGGCTATAAATGAGCGTGTGTATATGCATTACGGGTACCATGAGTACAACGTCGGAACCGGCTCCTAATACTTTGTTGGATTTGCAGTTCTGGATTCAAGAGAAGGCTATCAAAACGATGTATTGACTGAACTATTTTGAACTGTGGCACGACGATAGGAGTTCCGGGCACAGAGTGTTGTTTAGAAGGTCATCAGAGCAATACCCTTTGTCTTCGGCACCTAATTAAAAACTGATACCTAAAGTCGCCTTTGGAAGAAAGTACATCGTTAGATTTCCTACAAGGGAGAAATGGAGGGATCCAGACACTCTCTTGGAAAGCTCGTTGAAAACTTTCTCTACCGACGACTCAACGACTGAAAATGGTATTGGAGCTAGATGGCATATGGACGGTAGCTTCAGAAGCTTTATTGATTTCGGTGCAATGTTAACGGTCTTTGCAATACTGAAAGTAGCAGACTGGATAATTAATTAATTTGCGAAAGGTGGCGCTGACATAAAATCAGGATCTGCAGTGACAGCCAAGCTGCTCTAAACCTGAATTTGGGATTTTTAATAGTAAATATGAGTCACCATATTCGAATCATTCTACGCAACGGAATCTTGAGTTTCCTAGAAAAGTTTTCTGAGCATCTCAAGTATCCTATATCATATTTTTTGAGGCCTCTTAAATAGAGCAGATATGAGAATACTCTCCATATATCAAACCGGTCACACCAAAGTCAGAGTGCTCTGCCTTAAAGATGACGAGATACAACCTTTCTGATTGTCGAAACACTAGGGATTAGAAATTTGCATCCCAAGATCCTTTTAAGTCTTATTAAGGAAGCTGAAAGCGTCTTCTATCTGCAGTGTAAGGGACTCTCTATAGAGATACAAAATATCTTCTAGGCAGCAGTGTCCTTTGTTCTACTACCATTTCGCTTTTGCAAATAGAGGGAATTTAAGTCCTCGAGATATTAATTTGAATTGGCATTCTTCTGCACTATGACTACATACATATGCATATTATAAAAATTAACTTAAATCAATTTGGAAAATGAGTTAATATTCCAATGGATATTGTGAATAAGCATCTACAAACATATGTAAATTTCGTTCAAAAAGTGCAATTAACGTAAACAATAACCAAGACACTTTCTTTCATTTTAATAGTCGCAATGCTGACTTTCGGAATAATTTCAAAATAACTACGAAAATAAGGAACTTTTAACGGCTCATTATCGAGTCAAGTTGAACGCAGTTTACTTTCAAAGCCACATTTCCTCTTTTTCTTGAAAGTTTTCCGCCCATAAAAAAAAAAAACAACTGTTACCCAAAGTCAAAGTCAAGTTGAAGAATACAAAAAACCGACTTTTAAATCCTTTTTTTGTAGTATCCGGCAGCAAAATATATTTGAACGGTTATCCAGTTATGTGCATTTGCCACCGAATTGAATGAGTATGTAATTCCTGTTTTGGAAGTTAGCTGACAGTGCTGTCTACACTACAGGGAATGGCATAGCGTTTGCGTGATGATTACTTTATTGCTTACAATTAGTGGTATACAGTCATGGTGAAATTATAAACAGATAAAGTAATAAAAAAGCTTTATCGCTTTATTTTCTCGTTTCTTGACATTCGGCTATCTTACAATCATTTTTTAAAAGCAAATTTTCAAATAAGATAGTGCCAACTCTTGCTTTTCGCTCTTAT